CTGCATGAAGTACACCAAGGATTACATGAAATCAATCAATCAAAGGCAAACTTGAAGAACAAAACCCAGAAAGAGTAAAACCTTTTATGACAGGGGCTGTAGAACAGATCAAACACATCCTGGCCCATTCCAAAAACGACCAGTTCTTTATTGGTGAAAACATGAATCCAGATGGCATGACAGCTCAGCCTGACTACCTTGAGGACGGTGTGACTTTATACATGGTTTCCTTTAAGGGTAGTTTAGAAATGGAGAAATGTTAACCAACTTGTGGCACTTACTTGAATCCATCACCTGTCTTCCTAACTGCCTGCTGCTTTTCATTACCACACCAAGATTTAGACAAATGAGGCTGATGTCATCTTGAGCTCTTTGTTTCATTTTGACCTTTATTTATTTGGAGGGGAGGTATTTTTTTAAAGGGGAAAAAAGTTGTAGGTTGTCTAAAAATAAAATGCATTTAAACTTAAAAAAAAAAAGATGTGAAGAATACACAAAATAATTGTACCAAGAATTGGTGGATACTGAACCATTTCAGGAAGTAGTATTAAGAACAAGATTTAACAAAATGAAGGAAGGCTGTAGAAAGAAGGTTGGGGTGAATACCAACAAGATAAGGAAGGTAGAAACTCCTGCTAAAAGCAAAACTCAGGGAAAGTAGCTCCGACCAGATGAAACTCATGTTAAGGGCTGATGGGGGGGGGGGGGGGAGGGCAGACAAAGGGCTAAAACAAGATCCAGCCCAAGCAACCAAGGGAACAGATAGTGTTGAACTGAAGTCCTCACAGTGCTGACATACATAGTAAGAACTGTCCCTGAAGCAACCTAATTAACTCTGTACTCTAGAGACCTTTCATGCAACCAGTGAGGACAAGCACAATGGACTGGAGTAAGAACCACGCACAAAACCGTGAACTTCTGTAAAAACAGCATGAGTGAGATGGTCATATCTGACTTCTATCAACTTGACAAGAGGAAACTGCCAATATCCACTAAATCCACAATGCAAAAACAATCCCCCTGAGGTCAGACATGCCCTTCATGCCCCCACACCTATTTCTACTAACTTCAACAGCAATCCTACTGCCCTGCTGGGTCAGAAGTCCATTGCAATAGACCACACAGAACCATACTCATGATTACGAAGTTCATTAGGAAAGTTAGCATTGCCATTCAGACCAGCAATGGGACACACTCTCTCAGGACAGCTCCCAAAGTATACTTGTAGGCTCCTCACCCTTCAGCCTCACAGCCTTAGGTCAGTTAAGACATCTATCCCACTCTCAACTCCAGGCCCCAACAAGCCTGGGCAAGGCTCCCAGCTTTGGTTCTGTGAGGTACCAGTCCCGAGGTCAGCTCGATCTCATATCTGGTCTCTGGTTCTCTGTGGCTGCTGCTCTTCCTGTAGGGCCCCATCTGCGTGAGGCCAGAATCTTTTGGCTGTGAAGGATGTGTGCATCTTGCTGCTTCCTCTTCCTTGTTCATGTTGAGATTCCCAATTTCTATGGCTGAATTACCTCAATTTAATGGTGAGACCAGCCAATCCCCTTGTGGAGAGGCTAACACTCCTCATTTGTATGCCCCTGCCCATCCATGTGACAAAGTCAAAGGTAAGGGCTAGGAAAGCCATTGTGAACAATAAACCCTTGACACAACAACTGTCCATGACATCTTCCCATTGTCACAGACGCAAGCCCTGAAGCAGACCATCCCTCCTGTTTTCTCATCTTCCTCTTGGCAAGCTAGATATCCTGTTGAATCTTCATGCACAAACAAGGGCTTGTCCCACTCTAGAACTATTCTGAGCAAGACAAACACAGCTCTTTTAAGGGTCCTCCATGATTGCTATACAATAAAAATGGCTCTTTTAAGATTTACTAAAACCACTATTGACTGTGCTACTTTTTAGCATCATCCCCTCTCATCTCTCCCACCTGGCATAATTCTTTAACAATAGCATGTGATCAAGAACCAGTGAAGGAAGAACTTCAAGCTGCATTGGCAATTCATTGGCAAGACATAAGACCTCAGGAATTGGTGAAATACCAGTTGAGATGTTTTAACAAATAGAAGCAACCCTGGATGTGCTCAACAGGTAATTGGCTATTTGGAATACAGCACCTGGACAACTGTCTGGAGGATATCTTTCTTTGTTCCATTCGAAAAAAAAAAGTGGTCTAATAGAATGTGGAAATTATCAGATAATTTCACGAAAATCGTACATAATTGAAGATTTAAAAAAAAAAACAAACAAAAACACCAACCAACCAAATAGCTGGATCGACAAGGAACTGCCACAGTACAAGCTGTATTCAGAAGAGGCCATGGGACAAGGGATATCATTGCTAATAGAAGAAAAACAGAAAACATGTAACCAGAATCACCTTTCCTTCAGTTCCAAGAACAAGTTTCATTCTAAATCTTCACTCACAGAAACCTGAATATCTATTTCTACCAACATTCTGCATATAACAATTTAGGTCTTTCTCTAGCATGGGCCTCACAGCCTCTTGAGCCCTCACAGACAGAATCTTTAACATACACACTTCCACTAAAAGTCTATTTAAAGACACTTAGGCTTTTCCTATCATGGGGCATGTTGCTAGGAGAGACTATTCATTGGAGAGGGATATCATGCGTGGGAAGGTGAAGGCTTGGCAAAAGAGAGGAAGACCCTCAACCAGCTGGATTGACACAGTAACTATAGCAATGGGCTTGAATGTGTCAGAAATTGTGAGGATGGCCCAGGACAGGACAGGGTTCAGAGCTGTTGTTTGTAGGGTTGCTGCGAGTTGTACTTGACAACACCTAACAACAAAAATAATAGACTTCAAAATTCTTCCAATCTCTGGTCACTTCCAAAGCCATATCTACATTTTTACAGTCTTTTCTAGGAGGTTTGGGGTTTGTTTTGTTTTGTTTTTAAACAGCAGCACCACACTCCCAGTTAATGAAATCTCCATTAATTGTTCTTAACTGATGTAGAGGGGGCTCTGGTGGTGTCCATACAGAACTGTGCTGTTAACCAAAGAGGTGTCTCTCTGGAGGGTGAATCCACCAGCAACACCCTGGGAAGAGGGTGACCAATCTACTCCTGTGCAATCCACAGCCTCTGAGAACACAGTGGAAGGTCAGCTACAAATCAGTTCCTATTCCACAGCCATGGCTTCTTCTGATGAGTGCTATAATCACCTACTACTACATGGCTTATGAAAGGAGCCCTGGTGGTGCAGTAGATAAGTACTCAGCAGCTGGTGCTTCAAGTCTCTTGTCAAGAAGAAGGTGGGGTAGTCTGCTGCAAAAAAGAGCAAGGGGCCTCTGGGAATGGCCTCCAATGACTTTTAACTACTCCACAAAGGGGAACTGTCCCCACCACCAACATCAACAGCACCAGCACAAGACCAACTCTCATGGGTCAGACATGGCCCCACACTCCTGTACCTCTTTCTACTTATCTCAATATCAATCTTATTGCTCTAACTGGGTCTAAAGTCCAATGTAATAGCTCACACACCACACAGAACTGTACTGGAGAATAAAAAAGTCATAATGCAAGTTAGTAGCAGAATGCAGTCAGGACAGCTTCTTCTGAAATGTGCTCACAGACACCTCAGTCTTGAGCCTCTCGGCTTTAGGCCAGTGTTACAAAGTTCTTGGCCCTGTGAATTATGGCCCCTTACTCCCAGTTGTCCAACAAACTTGGACAAAAGCTCTAAGCTCTGGTTCTATGGGGGGTAGCAGTCCCAAAGTCAGCTCCATCTCACATCAGGTCCCTGGTCCTCTTCTTCAGCCACTGCTGCTGCTGCTGTATGTCTAACTGGCCAAGAATCTCTGGGTCTGAAGGGCACCCACTGCATTCCTAGTTCTCCTCTTCTAGTGAGATTCCTCTCCCTTCTACTCCTGGATTTGCTCAATTTAATGGCAAGACTAGCCAGTTCGCTTGGGCTAACTAACACCTCCTATTCACATATCCCTCCCCCCCCCCCGCCCCAACTACATGGTTAAGTCAAATTCAATGCCCAGGAAAGCCATTTTGAATAATGAACCCTTAATATCACATTTGCTTTTATAAATATCACAGCCTTCAAAACCCCCTAGGGCTGTTCCACTCTGTCCTATGGGATTGCTGTGGTTGGGATTGACCAATGGGTAACTGGTTTGAATTTGGATTTTGATAGATTTATACAAATGTATTCTTCTCTAGTTCTAGAGGTCCCGAGTTCAATACCAGTTTTCACTGGACTGGGAGTGTGCAGGAAGGTTTTGCATGAGTGCCTGTCCACTTGAAAGACTCTGGGCATGGGGCTTACAAGTGAAATCTGTACCCAACCAGGAGGGGGCTGTGGAGAATGCATGGTGGGCAGCAGAGCGAGATCAGGAGTCTGCACCTTGGCTGACTTTAGATACCAGGAAACTCAGGTTGTTTTGGAACTTACCAAGCCCGAAGAAGAATCAATGCCTATCAATTGCAGTGTTGGTGAAAAGTGTTCAATACATATGATTAACTGCCAAAAGGACAGACAAATCTATCTTGGAGGAAGTGTAACCAGGGTGCTACTTAGAGGCTCCTTGGATGGTTTTGATTTGAAAGACAGTTTTCAGAGACGGTGGGCCTCAAGTCCTGTCTAAGGCGTCTTCAGCCAGAGGCCTGCGCTCCCCCACAGCGTTGCACTGGTGTAAAAGGTGATGTGGCTTCTAGCAGGCAGCCCTTTCTCTCCAGGGTGGAGGCGGGAACGGGGCGGAACAGTGATCTTCTGACCGGGACGGGGCGGGGCCCAGGAAGGAACTGTGGGTCCCTAGATCGGGCGGGCGGAACAGGGACCACCGTACAGGACAGGGAGGAGCGAGGACGAGGCGGAGCCAGGGAGGAACAGGGACACTAGTCTCCTTTATCCAGGCCGGGGCTGGACCCGGACCGAGGTGCGGCTTAAGAATCTATTTTCTGGGGTCACCCTGAGCCCAGTACCACAGCTGCTGCCGCTGTCTTTCCCGTCTTCGCCATGGGCCTGGAGCTGTACCTGGACCTGCTGTCGCAGCCCTGCCGCGCCGTCTACATCTTCGCCCGCAGGAATCGAATCCCCTTCGAGCTGCGCCCCGTGGACCTGCTCAAAGGTGGGCGCACCCGTGTGCCTGCAGACCTGGGCTCCTTCTGAGTGCCTCTGGACTCCACGATCCCCCTCTCTCGTCCCCCAGGACCACTGGAAGCGATCCCTGCTCCGTGGCCTGGGCAATCTGACCCTGAGCTCTCCCCTTGAACAAAGAGTGTCAGTGCTAGGTGCTCTGTGAGGTGTGGGCAGCACCAGGAAAATTCCAAAATCTTTAGAGGTTTTGGGGAAATAGCACGTGGTCTGGCAGCTCTGAGACACACCAGGCCGAGCCTCCCCTGCCCTGTGCCCACCTCAGTGGGCACTGCTGTGTGCCTTCTGGTCAGCTCTGGCTCCTTTTGTGACAGCAGAACCGTTCCAAGGACTTGTGTGCTGTCGCCCCTGCAAGCAGGGCACCAGGCCTTGCTGCTGTTGTGCCAGGGTGTGGATTCAAACTGCCCACCTTCTGGGTACCAGCAGGTGCATGCCAGGTGCACCACTTCAGTCTGGGTGCAGTAACCTCTCTTCACCTCCTCCCTCCACTTACTCTTGTCTCCAACGCTACTGTCCACTCCAGGCAGGGACAAGGCAGGGGATGCATCACCCACCAGTGGGAAGCTGGCCAGGGAGGTGGGGGAAGACAGGACATGACAGGTGCCTATCGTGACCTTGTGCGACCCTTCCTCCTAGGACAGCATATCACCCAGGAGTTCTTCCGGGTTAATAGGCTGCAGAAGGTGCCTGTTCTCAAGGATGGTGACTTCATCTTGACAGAAAGGTGCTTCCCCTTCCCATCTCCCGAGACCCAGCCTCCCCAGCTTCCTGTGCTCCCAGCTCTTCCAGTGGCCTCAGGCCCACCCAGATCACAGAGGACTGAGAGAACAGCATAGGGCAAGTCTAGAGGGACAGGCAGAGGGACCTGTCGCTGCCAGTCTCTGATCTCTAGGGCCCACTTCTGTCTCTGGGGCCTCCCCAGCCCCAGAGGGACAGCATCTGGAGAGAGGATGAGGGACAAAAGTAGGGTCCACAGATGAGGACTGGGCAAGGCCTCTTGAGCTCCTCAGGTCCCTGGGCCCAGGTTTGGCCCCAGGGGACTCTGGGAGCCCTTCTGAGCTGGGCAGCCTTGGACAAACGGCTTTACTGCTCTGAGCCTCGGTGCAGCAGGGAGCACCTCCTCTGTGAGCCAACTCGTGGGCAGTTTGAGATCTGGGGTCTCATAAGGTGCAAAGCTGTGGGCATGTCAGACAGGAGGTGACTAGCCAAGCAGAGGCAAGGCCTGGGGTGCTGGGTAGAGAGCTCCCGGGAGCTCAAGAGGTCCTCACATCCTCCCTCCCACTTCAGTTCAGCCATCCTGATGTACCTGAGTGTCAAGTACCAGATTGAGGCCCAGTGGTACCCTCCTGACTTGCAGACCCGAGCCCGAGTCCATGAATACCTAGGCTGGCATGCTGACAGCATCCGGGGAACCTTTGGTGTGCCGCTGTGGACCCAGGTGAAGGGGGTCCTTGGGCGTGGACACTGTGGTAACGGAGAGATCTAGGGCTGCAGGCTGAGCTGCTCTCTGTCCTCTTCAGGTGTTGGGGCCACTCATTGGGGCCCACGTGCCCAAGGAGAAGGTGGAGCGCAATCGGGCAGCCATGGACCGGGTGCTGCAGCTGCTGGAGGACAAGTTCCTGAGGGACAGGCCTTTCCTTGCCAGCCATCAGGTGACCCTGGCTGACCTCTTGGCACTGGAGGAGCTTATGCAGGTATGTGTCAGGCTGTGGCTTAGAGCAGCTCCTTCTCCTTAGCCCACCCATTACACAAACACTGAGGCCCAGAGAGAGTCTCAGGCTTGCTCAGAACCTCAGTTTACAGGCCTCTTCCCAGGGTGGAGATGAGTGCAGGGATCACACCTGGTCCCAGCTCCTAGACCCATCACAATGGCTGGGACTCCAGTGGGGACTGGAAGTGCCTGGCTCCTGATACCCCTGAGCCTGAGCACGGTGGCCTCAGGACCTGACCACTGTCCCATCAATGTCCCCACAGCCTGTGGCTTTCGGCTATGACCTGTTTGAGGGGCGGCCGCGACTGGCAGCATGGCGTGAGCAGGTGGAGGTGTTCCTGGGTGCAGAGCTGTGTAAGGAGGCCCATGGTGTCGCCTTCAGCCTCCAGGAGCAGATGGCCAGCAAGACCCTTCCAGTCCCCCCACCAGAGGCCATTCCAAACATGCTGCGCCGCATTTCTAATATCCCCTGAGGCAGGTGATGGCCTCTGCTGCAGACCAGCTGACGCCTGCCAGGAAGCTAGCAATAAAGACCGCTTATGATAGTCATTCTGCTTGTCACTTGTCCCTGTAACCTTTTCATCCACCTCAGTCTATCATCTCTGATTTCATTTGCTTAAATGTAGCAAATGCAACCAGTAACAGATGACAAGAGCTGCTGGAAAGAAATAAGATGAATAAAGATAAATCCGTTAAAACTCAGTAAACATCCTATAGCAAGTTATATGATCTAATAGTGAGCACTCTGATGGCTTAGCCCTTAAGGCGTTGCACTGCAAACCCAAAGGCCACGCTTAACTAGGGTTCAGATGCGCTAGCTTCCCCAAGGGAGAAAAATGCACAATCTCTTCAGAAACTCTTGGAGAGCATATTATGTCATATATTAAATGTGAATACACAATAAAAGTTTTGAAAACTTTGAAGAACCAAGAGTTGCTGGCTTTAATTACATTGCTTTTTGCATGGAGGAAGAGTATGTCCAGTACACACCCTCCTCAGAGCAGCCAAGGCAGCATGACAGGAAGTCAACACGGACATATGACCCAAGTAGCTGGTAAAGTGTTTTTATGATTTTGAATCTGATTCCACACTTCCCCCATTCTCTGAGGGACTTTCCATTGTGTTCATTTTCAGAGTAGCCAACATGAGCAGTAGGACATCATCTCGTTCACTCAGTTTACTTGAGATGTGTTGACAAGTCTGCTGTCAGGGACCTCTCCAAATGATTGAAGAGCAATGATGTCATTGTGAAGATTAAGCTGTGTCTGATTCAGGCCATGGTTGTTTTTCATCATCTGAGATCTGGACAATAAATAAGGATGACAGAAGAATTGATGCCTTTGAGCTATGGTGTTGGAGTGCTGAATATCCCATGGACTGCTAAAAGAACAAACAAATATGTCTTGGAGAAAGTGCAGCCAGAGTACTCCTTGGAGGCAAGGATGACAAAGCTTCATCTTACATACTTTGGGCTTGTTGTCAGGAGAGGCTATTCCACGGAGAGGGACATGGTGGTTAGAAATGTGGAGGGTCAGCAGAAGAGGGAAGGACCTCAATGATTTGGACTGACACAGTGACTGCAGCAATGGGCTCAAGGGTGTCAGAGATGATGAGGATGGCACAGGATAGGCCAGGGTTCATATCTATTGTCCATAGGATCGCTATGGGTTGTACTCAACTCGACAGCACCTAGCAACATCAGTCTTTCATTGTCTTCCCTCTTTGCTCCTAAAAGGGGAGAAACTAATTGTTGTAACTTAGACGGCTGCTCACAGGTTTTTAAGACCTCATTTGTTATCTAAGTAGGATGTAAAACATTGTCTCTGTGTACTTTCCCAACTGACTTTGATGTCCCTGGAAGGCATGTGGTATTTTTAGGACAAGGCTTAATCCTGTTGCCCCATGGTTATGACGATGCCAGTGAATTACTTTGAATTCCAGTTGTCTCTAGCCATCCCAAAGCTCCTTGCACACATACAGTAGCCTTAAGTGTGGCTGATGGTAAGCAGGTGCTGACAGACATGCCTGTGGCCGCTTTTGCACCCCTCCTGTGCAGTTTGTTTCCTCCTGGAGCTGACTCCTGTGGTGCTAGAGGCAGGCCAGGAGGACAGAGATCAAGGCTGGGGTCGGCTGACAGCCAGGGGCAGAGAGAGGGCAGGCCTCAGAGCACACAGGGAATGGACTAGAAGCCAGAGACTTAAAGCCTAGGACGGAGCAGAGACAAGTCAAGGAGGTACCTGCCACTGTGCCCACAGTCTCCCAATCCAGGAGTGGCTGGTGATGGACAGCTCCAGAGAAAGGAGCTGTGAAGAAGTTCAACAATGAAGCCCTAGGAGTGAGAGACAGAGGGAAACAAGGGGGAAATGCAGTCAGCTTTTGAAAAAGGTATTGTCAAAGGAAATGGAAACGGCACAGAGACAGATAAGACACAGATAAGGAAATGATGGCACAAGGGCAGAAGAGAGCCTGGCCACTCAGCATCACCAAGACGGGAAAGGAGCTGCCACACGCACACAACTGTGCCTGGGTTCATGTAATATGCGTGCAGAAAATGAGAAGCACCCCAGGAAATGGCAACTATTGTAGTGACCTAGTGGTAAAAAGCTGCCCTGCAATTCCCGAGGCATATGCTCCATGGGAGAAGGATGGACAATATCCTCTCATGTGATTTACTGCCTCTGAAAATCCTCTGGAGGATCAGCTATGGATTGGTTCCAACTTGGCATCAAACAACAAATGAAAAGTTTAACAGAAGTATTTGTGTAAGAGTTTGAGGAAATCTCTCTGGAGTTAGAAAAGAGAGAAAGTAGATAGGTTAGGTTCCCTGGTGACTCAAACCACTAACAGGATGGTTTGAAGTTCAAACCTGCCCAGTTAGATCATGTTTGCACAGTTTGGTGGGTGGAGGGAGGGAGGAAGCAAATGGGAAAGATCCAGGCTAAAAAACAGGGTGATGATGGGCAAGGTCCAATGGTGATTAATTTTATAAAGCATAATACATGAAAATAATTGCATGAAACACAATGTGAATGAACATAGTGAAGTACAATGTATATAAACTTTGTAAGCAAACTAGTTAAAAAAAAAAGGAAATGGGGGAGAACTATACTTGGCCATCTACTTTCATGATGTTCCTTCGCTGAAAACCTGTGAAGCCTGCTTTGCCTGGGATCATGGTGATGCCATGAGCTGGAAGTAATTTAACCATGGTGAGTACACAGGTGCCCAGTGCAAGAGCCCAGCCAATCTGCAAAGACTGAAAGAAATTAAATGAAAGGAGTCATTACCATCAGCTCACCGCACACTGCCTGTCACCTTTCTCAAAGAACCTAGTGAGCTAAACGGATGATATTTCTTTCGGTTCCTAATCTCACAATGATCATTTTATTGTCCTATAAAATACGGAAGCTTGATCGCATACACTTTGGACATGTCAGAAGAGACAGTGCTTGGAGAAGGACATCATGTTTGGAAGGGTAGAGGGTCAGTGCAGAAGAGGAAGATCCTGGATGAGATGGATTGACACAGTGACTGTGACAGTGGGATCAGGTGTGTCTGGGACATTGAGATTGGCTCAGGACAGGATAGGGTTCAGAGCCATTGTTCAGAGGGTCACTATGAATCACAGTCGAATCAACTGAGCATAACAATAAGAACTAGAAATCTTAAGGGAAGCTCCAAAATACTGAAGAGCAATGATGTCAGTTTGAAGACTAAGGTGTACCCGATTCAAGCAGTTTTCGGGTTTGCTGTTCACAGGGTCGCTATGAGTCAGTCATACTCAACTCAATGGCAGCTAACAACTTGTGGCATAGTGGTCAGAAGCTGTGCTGCAATTCTAAAGGCATGTGGTTTGAATCCACTAGAAGATGGGCAATTCCCCGCAGCCCCCATGTGATTTACTGCTTCTGAGAACCCACTGGAGAGGCTTTGAGGGGGCAACTCTTACCCAATCACATTTTGAATGCCCTCCAACCTGAGGGCCTCATCTTCCGATACTATCAGGTGATGGTCCACTGGTAATTCAAGCTGCATTTTTAAGCCATTTCACAGGCATTTCAGAAATGGATGGCTAGCCCTACTTAGAAAGCCTTAGAAGATGGGACAATCTCCTTCCGGCAATTTACAGCCTCTGAAAACCGGCGTGGGGGGGGGGAGGGGTGTCAGTTATGGGTGGGTTCCGACTGGAAAGAAGGGAGCAACAAGTCTGAAAGCTGAGCCAGTAGGGCGTGTCTTTGGGTCCACCTCAAAAAAGGAGGTCAGAGGTGAGAGCGCTCCGGGCTGGGCTTGCGACACTACGTGGAATTGAAGGAGGGACAGACGGGCTCCTTGTTTGGAGGGGGAACAACCATCGCCAGAGCCACAACAGAGGCCAGGGGGTGGTGGCTTAGCAGGCTTTCCTCCCAGTGGCCGCGGAGGGGCGGGGAGAGACATTAATAAGAGTTGAGCAATCCAAGTAACCAGAAGGGTGAGGTCTAGCAGGGGCAGGGCGGCCATGGGGCTGGAGCTTTTCTTGGACTTGTACTCGCCCCCCTGCCGCTCAGTCTACCTCTTTGCGCGCAGGAATGCCATCCCCTTCGAGCTGCGTTCAGTGGAGCTGATGCGAGGTGAAGGGAGCACCGCTCCGCGGTCTGCGAAGGGACCCTCGGGGCGAGGGGGAAGACGCGGGGCGGGGGGGGGGAGGGAAGAGCAGGACGAGGGGGAATGTCACGGACAGGGCGCGCAGGGTGAAGGAGTCACACGGGGTAAGAGGGCGCGTGCGAAGCTGGAGCGAGGGGAGGCACACAGGGTGGCGATGGGGAGGACGCCAGAAGCTGGCGAGGGGGAGCGCTAAGACCAGGGAAGACCCGAGACTGAGCGAGGTAGGGAGCACCGAGGGACGCGGGGCTCGAGGCGGGAGACGAGGCTCGCGGAGGAAAGGCGGGGCGCGGGGGGAAGGCAGGGCTCGCGGGTGGAAGAAGCGGGGCAGGGAGGGGAGGCGGGGCTTACGAGGGGGAGAGGCGGGGCGCCGAGGGAGGCGGGGGTCGGGGAGGCGGGGCCCGCAGGGGGAGGCGGGGCTCTCGGAGGTGTTAGGTCAAGTGGGATCCCTGGGCGAGGTGGTCCCAGGAACAGGACTTTGCAACTCCGTTGTTCTCTGCTGTCTCAGGTGAGCACCTCAAGCCAGAGTTTCTGGAGGTGAACCCGCTGGGAAAGGTGCCTGCCCTTAGGGATGGTGACTTCAGGCTGGCTGAGAGGTGAGAGAGACCTGCCAAGCCCCTAGGACCAGAGCGGGGTCAGAAGGACTTGAGGCGTGGAGGGGAAGGAAGCTGCCATCACAGGAAGGCAACAAACACCCCTGTGAGGGAGCCAACTCCTCAAAAAGTAGTGATATCCCCAGAAATGAGCTCATGCCCCTGAAAGGGACTTGACGTCCCCAGGAGGGAATTGACACCCTCGGAAGGGAGCTGGCACCGCCAGAAAGCTGACACCCCTGGAAAGGACCCGATGTCCCCAGAAAAGAGCTACCACCCCTTGTTTGGAGATCTTTACTCTGTGAAGCTGCGCAAGTCACAGACTGGAGTAGGGATCACCTAGGAATGACACAGGAAAAACGGAGTTATTGAGATGGGGAAGGGATACAGGTCACTGAACCAGAGCCAGGTCACAGTGCACCCCACTTCCTGCTGTGCCCTTGGAGCCAGTGAGTTGAAGGTGGAGAGAGCTATGGAGCTCAATTGAGTGTCTCTGATGGACAGTTCTGCTTCTGACTAAAAGGGTGAGATTTGAGTCCATCCAGGGGCACCTCAGAGGAAAGGTCAGGCAGTCCCTTAGAGAAGAAGCCAGTTACTGGAATTGTCCCCCAAGAGAATTCCACTCTGACACTCATGAGTCCATATGGGCTGGAGGCAGCTGGTTTTGTTCACCTGTTTAAGGGGAGGAGGAAGGGTTCCAAGACAACAGAGCAGTGTGAGAGTCGGCTGCTGCATGGGGGCCAATGAGGAGGGTCCCTCTCCCAGAGGTGGGTGGGAGAAGACCCAGTGGGGGTTCCCTGGGAATGGAGCCACAAGCCCTGACAGCTGGCTGTTCGCAGTGTGGCCATTCTCCTGTATTTGAGCCGCAAGTTCCAGCCAGCTGAACACTGGTACCCGCCAGGGCTGCAGGCCCGTGCCCGCGTGGATGAGTACCTAGCATGGCAGCACAGTGCCATCCAGCTGCCCGCCACCAATGTCTACCTGTGCAAG